TATTATAAAGCTGTTATCTTAATGTAAAAAGAAGTGACTTGGTAGAGGTCTCCCTGTGGAAATAGATGCATAAGGAACACTTAATACTGAAAGACACAGCTGTTAAGTCATGAACAAGGGTTGCATGGAAACTTTCGTGTCGTTATTTGATACGTTATTTGATTAAGTGGAATTTGGCTTTAGACAGCTAAATCTTGCCCTTCAGTGTGTTGGAAAATATTGCATAGTAACTTGGTTTTTTCCACAATGCCACCTTATTTTAGCATTCCAAAGGATTTGGAAGTATGGGTTTTACACATAAGACTTTCTTAAAATAACTGGGCTCTAACTTTGGTAGCATAAATAATCACTTACTGATACATGCATGTATGTAAGACAGAGAACAATATTAACTGGAATCAAAGCTAGTCTCCTGAGAGAGAAACACTTGTGTTTATCCTGAAGGGTAATCATTTGTAGCTGAGGTACAATTATGTGATTTGTGTAGAGCTTTCATTTTGAAAGCATTTGCACTTGCTGTTTAGAATTTGTGTCCGTTTGAAATTCAGGCCAATTATCACTGGCTCACAGGGGCCATCATAAGGGATAAGGATAGGAGTATCTGATACTACTTAATGAAAGAAACATGCTATTTATTAATCTTATTTAGCCCCAGTAATTCTCACATTTATAAGTCAAATGGCTTTGAAATTAGGTTAAATTTAGCTCTATGAATTTGATATTTTTAATAGCATTGTTCATACTGTTGATTTTTATGTATTTCTTTCTTTTTGGAATTGTGATACTTTACATTTAGGATCTGTATGTGATGAAGGCTAATGGTGCACCCACACACATACACATACACACAGGCACACACGCCTGTGTTTCTTAAAGTTTGTAGATTAACAAACATCTAGCTATGATCCGCAAAACGTTTAAGTTGCTATTTCTGATCTCAGCTGGTTTACTTAATTAATGAGTGTGGGCTTTATAAGGTGTTGATTAGTTTTTTAAAATGGTATTTTCAGCCTAACAAAGTAAATTTGTTTTATAATTTGGAAATATTTGCAAAGTATATTTTGCTTGCTTTCATTCTTTTACCTACTGAGATCCCTCCGGCCCCATTAATTGTGTTTTTTCTTCCTCTGAGCTGAATCCTTGAGACTGAGTCTAGAGAGCTGAGAAGAAGCCAGGTGTGGGAAATGAGGCAAGGTCGGGAGTATAAGACAGCTGGTAATCAGGAGTAGACCAGGCCTGGGGGAGCCACTGTGTGCAGCGTGAAATCGTGGCATCCATAGCACCGGAAGGTAAAAGTTGGTGTGTGGGTGGAACTGGCAGCAAGCAGAAATCAGGGACACAGAAATATTGGAGTTTGATGGGAGTGATACGAAAAGAGGGCACAAAAGGAAAAAATAAGGAAAAGTCCAGGTCTTATCAGAGATCAGTTTATAGAAACTGAAAGAACTATGACACCATTGGAGTGAGAAAGTTGGGACTTGGGATAGAAGTTCTTTGGCATTTCAGTACAAATTGTGCTCTAGTCAAGAAGCTTCTTAGGCATTCCCTGCCAATATAGGAACCGGTTCCAAGATTGGGCCACCAGAGCCCGCTAGTAAAAGCAGGTCATGGGTGTGTCTGCCTGGAAAGGAAAAGGAGGTACCCTGGGAAGGTCCTAAGGAGAGAGGTTAAGGACATGTGGCAACACAAGCATAATCAGCACTTTGCTGAGCATTGTGTGTTTCATGACTCACATACGTTGGTTACAACACACCCACCTTCCAGGCAGTAAAACCAGTGGGTTAGGTCTGGGTCTTCAATGTATCTGCTCCATCTGAAGACAGTAAAAGGGAACTACTTTAAGAGAGTAAAGATGCTTCAGTTTAAAAGCTGCTAAACAGTTTGCATTCTGTATAAAAATCTTAGTTCTCTTTTTAAGGTTTTTCATAGCAAGAAAAGGAGGTCTGTAAAGGAATGAATTGGAATAAATAATATAAATGAAGGTTAATTAATGAGAAAAATACAATTTATGGTTATGTAAATAAAGACTTTTGCTGTGTCTTACATATTTGCATGCACATATATAGTATATATAAAATATACGTATGCATATGTATAAATTTATATTGCTTAGAAATTGCTGAGACTTAAGAGATCTCTAATTGTTAATTGTTTTTAACTCAATGGTTTGGTCTTTTTTGGACATTAGTACATGATTACTTTGTCTACCTTTGTTTTTATTTGTATTATGAAATTAGATAAACTTACAGGAAAGAATAAATAACCTTAAAATCTCATTTGTATCTTTTTAGACTCACTTTTAATCATGTATCTACTTGGCAATGTATTTGCTTTTTAGCTTACATTTTAATGATGGAAAATGAATTTACTTAGTGTTTTTTTTTTGATGTCTCATACAATTTTTTTATATTGTATGGTGATATAACATATTTTGATTGTAATTCTCTTATTCTTGACCATTTGAGTCAATAGTATTTTTTTCATTATAGGAAAGTTGAACATGTTTTAAAAGATTATTTTTGGGTTGTTTCCTTGGGGCATTTTCCCCAAAGTCAGATTAACAAGTCAAAGGGCAGGAACAATTTTATAGCCTCTATTACATATTGCCAGATTGTTTTCCAGAAAGATTGAGCTAATTTGCTACTCCACTATCAATGTATAAAGCACAGCCCCAGTTTTAGATAGTTTAGACAGTCTGGGCACACATGAAAAGTATAATTACATTTTTACCCTGAGGTCTAGCTGTAAAGATAGTTCTCATAAGTAAACTCGATATATGGACTTTGAAATTATAGAACTGATAAGGCATGTCTTTTGTTCTTCAGAATGTGGAGGCTTGAAGTTAGGGACTTTTGGGGCTGGACAATGTGTGGTGTGGAGGTAGAGGGTCCCTTTGGACCAGTGTGGTACTGTGATTGCATTCTATTGAGTTGTTGCTAAGGCCCAGAACAAAGGGATGGGGGAGAGCCAGGTCCCGGTGTTTCTGCTGCTAGGACGGTGACCAGGTGCAAGGAATCCTGAAGGGCTTGGTGGAGGTTGTAGGATAGTGGGTGTACTTTGGAGTCAGGCATGCAGCAAAGGAGAAGAGGATATCTAGTGGCTGTCCTGTGGCCACTAGTCAGTGGGCCAGGTACTCCCTGGGTAGGGGCTAGCCAAAGGCCTTCCTTTTTTTTTTTTATTAAAAATGTCAACTCAAGGGTGTTGGAGTGATTTTTTGCCTTTGTGACACAGCATTATCAACTTTATAATGGAAGTCAATGGAGATTATAGATTCTGTGGAAATTCTTTTATTCTGTAAGGGTGGACTTGCCTGGTCTATAAAGATTTTTTTTCCATTTCTGACAAGGGAGAGACAGACATTTCCCTGAGAAATAAATTTCCCTCATTGCTCATGCATGCTGACATAGCATTATGCCTTTGCCAGCTTCCCCAATGACTTGCAAAAATTCCATAACCTAAGTACTCATACAGAACATGTAACAGCACATCATAGAACTGGACCCGGAGGGTACTGCAAAAGACACATAGATTCCATGCAATTCAGAAAGGCAAAAAGGGACAAAGATAAAGTCATTGATAAATGTTTGGTTGTTTAAAAATTATCATATGTGTATATTTTCAAAGGAGTAAATGGAATGAGTATTATACCAGAAATTCTAAGTCATAAAGTTAAATGGAAGTTGAGATAAAAAATTGTTTTAGTTTCCAGGTTGCAAAGTGGAAGTATCTGTTGGCAGAGAAAGTGAGAAACCTTCAAATGCTAGCAGTGGGAAAGGAGGGAAGCTGACCGGGGCTGTGAGGTGACCTGTTTAGGGATTTTTATTTAAATTGTTAATTGAGTTTTTTGTGGTAAAGTATATATAACAAAATAGGCCACCTTAACCCATTTTGTTTTTTGTTTTGTTTGAGGCTGGAGTGCAATGGCGTAATCAAGGCTTACTGCAGCCTCAACCTCCTGGGGCTCAAAAGATCCTTCTACCTCAGAGTCTCAAGGCATGCACCACCACACCCAGCTAATTTTTACAGTTATTTTGTAGAGACAGGGTCTCACTATTTTGCCCAGCCTGGTCTTGAAGTCCTAGGCTCCAGTGATCCTCCCATCTTGACCTCCCAAAGTGCTTAATTATCAGCTCTATTTCCAAAACTTTTTAATCACTCCAAACTTTAGGGATTTGTTTTGTAATTGGTTGTCTCAGAATTTTTAAGCTTAAAGAAACACAACATTCAAACCCTTCATTTTTCAGTTTCAGTATATGCCACATGTTAGGGTTGATTCTACTAGTTGTATGTCGCTCGTTTATCAGTTTCCTTTAATCTTTTCTGTTGCTGCATGTTTGGTTGAAGAGGGCATCCATCCAAGTAGGGAAGGGAGGATATTGTTCTGCCAAGGGCATATGAGTAGCTGTGTTCCTCTGCTGAGATCTCCAGAGCAATTCTGTTTGTAGGAGAACATGGGTAGCATGGTTTCCTTGTGCTTATTTAATGTATTTTAAAATTAAAAAGCAATGTTATACATTTACAATCTAGAAAAAAATTTAAGAATTTGTCATGACTTTGAACATAAAAATGAGTCTTTTTGCATATTTTTCACATACATCTTTGACATAATTGATTATTATGCATCTAACATCTATAAATAGCTTGCTTTTTTCATCTAACATATCACTTACAATTTCTCATTTTCCTCAATTATGTCCATAATAAATAATCCAAAGAATGCATGTAGCTTAATTTATGTAACCATAGTATTTTCTTTGATATTTAGATTGTTGAAATTTATAACTGTGGAAGTAAACGTCTTCAGACATCTTCTTTCTATAGTTTAACTCCTTCATTTTAGTGTTTGAGAGGAAGACACACACACACACAATGCTCACACATATCTTGTTGTGGGCAGTGGCTCCTGCATTTTTGGTGAAGATTTGGTAAAATCAGTGGTGATGTGTTTTTGTAATTATGATAAACATCAGATAGATGACAAATGTTTGACTTGGTTACAGGTTGTGAAAATCTTGGAGAAGCACGACCCCTTGAAGAACACCCAGGCAAAATATGGGTCTATCCCTCCAGATGAGGCCAGTGCTGTGCAGAATTATGTAGAACACATGCTCTTCTTGTTGATTGAAGAGCAAGCCAAGGATGCTGCAATGGGGCCGATTCTGGAATTTGTGGTCTCTGAGAACATCATGGAGAAACTTTTCCTTTGGAGCTTGAGAAGGGAATTTACTGATGAGACTAAAATTGAGCAGCTAAAGATGTATGAGATGTTGGTCACCCAGTCGCACCAGCCTCTGCTGCACCACAAACCCATTCTGAAGCCTCTGATGATGTTGTTGAGCTCTTGTTCAGGAACAACCACCCCCACTGTGGAGGAGAAGCTGGTTGTCCTACTCAATCAGCTCTGTTCCATTCTTGCCAAAGATCCATCCATTTTAGAACTCTTCTTCCACACTAGTGAAGACCAAGGCGCTGCCAACTTCCTCATCTTCTCCCTTCTGATTCCCTTCATTCACCGAGAGGGGGCAGTGGGCCAGCAAGCTCGGGATGCATTGTTATTCATCATGTCTCTCTCTGCTGAGAACAGCATGGTGGCCCATCACATCGTGGAGAACACCTACTTTTGTCCAGTAAGTCTCTCTCCTTGGCACGTTTTCCACTCACTCCCTTTTTTCTCTTTTGTTGCTAATGATGAATACTATCTTACTCCCTTTTTTCTCCCAGTAAGTTGTAGTTGGCACCTCCTATGGAAAGATGTTTAGAGGAAATCTTTTGGAGGGAGCAGAGGAGTCTAAGTTGAGATGCTATTTGTCTGAGCAGCATCAGTTCATCATAAGCCAACAGAGGAAGCTAGATGTGTTACCGTTTTTGGTTAATTTTTTACTGCGTTAAGAATGATTTTAATTGTTCTAGGAGCATAGGAGCATATCCTGAGAAATTGGTAAAACCTGTGCTTTCTGATTCCTTAGCTTTTCAGGTTGATTTTGCTCCAAGGAATCATGGCATGTGATAAGACCTCCACTGCTGGTTTCACAAATTAATTTGTTTCTCAGCAAGAAAATGACCGCTAGTTTTAGTGTATTTTATTGTCATAGGAACATGGGGTGGTGGAGTGGGAGTTCAACAGTCAGTTAGTGTGTAGGGGTCACGCTGACAACACCAAATGCTGGCAAGATGTGGAGGAGTAGAAACTCTCATTCATTGCTGATGGGAATGCACAATGGTACAGCTACTTTGGAAGACAGTTTGGCAGTTTCTTACAAAACTAAACATACTCTTGCTGTGTGGTCCATCTATTGCACTCCTTGATATTTACCTAAAGGAGTTGAAAACTTATGTCCACCCAAAAACCTGCACATGGATGTTTATAGAAGCTTTATTTATAATTTGCAAAAACTTGGAAGCCAACAAGATGTCTTTTAGCAGGTGAATAGATAAATAAAGTGGGGGTATATGCAGATAATGGAATATTTTTCAGCTAAAAAGAAATGAGCTGGTAAGTCATGAATAGATATGGAAGAACCTGAAATGCTTATTACTAAGTGAAAGAAGCCAATCTGAAAACGGTGCCTACTGTATGATTCCAACTATATGACATTCTGGAAAAGGCAAAACTATGGAGACAATAAAGAGACTACTTTCTTCCCCTGAGCATTGGGGCAGGGTGAGGGATGAATAATCAAAGCACACAGGACTTTTATGGCAGTGAAATTACTTTGTATGATACTAGAATGGTGGGTAAATGTCAATATACATTTGTCCAAACCCATAGAATGTAAAACACTGAGTGAGTGCTTATGTAAACTATGGTTTTGGGGGTGACTCTACTACGTCACTGTGAGTTCATCAGTTGTAACAAATGTAGCCCTCTGGTAGAGGATATTGATAATCAGGGAGGCTGTGCATGTGTTGGGGCAGCGGGTATGTGGGATATCTGTGTACCTTCCTCTCAGTTTTGTTGTGAACCTTAAACTGCTCTAAAGAAAACCTCTTAATAGCAGTCTTGAGAGGGAGCTATACGAGGTTTGGGTTTTAGCTTATTTGAATTGTTTAATTCAGTTGTGTAATTCTGCTGTTAAAGGAGAGCAGATATTGTAACAAATCAAAATATTCAGGTGGTTCACTTGATCAATATGCAAAAGGCAATTTAGAAAATACCGTTTACAAGAGCAACATAATCATAAGGTATCTTGAAATAAATCTAACAAATACATGAAAGGCCTTTATGGAGAAAATTATAAAGGGCATAAAAGATCTAAATAAATGGAAAGCTCTACAGCCTGTAGATACTGTACAGATGAGACATTCCTGCAAATTAATCTATAAAGTTGATGCAGTTTATGTTTTAAAAACTTTTTATTGTAAGAAAAAGTAAAATACAGAAAATTTAAAACACTAAGATGAACAGTGTATGCACACCACCTAGATTCAAAGTTGTTAATATTTTGCCATTCTTTGGTATTTTATGCTTTTATTTGTCTTTGTTGTACCATTTGAAATTAAGTTACAGATGTTAGATACTTTAGTCTGTATTTCCTATGAATGGGGACATTCTCCCACATAACCACAATACTGTTATTATACCTAAGAACATTATACAATAATTCCTTAATACGATCTAGTATCCAGTTCTCCCATTATGCCCCAAATTACTTTCATAGCTTTTTTCTCCCCCTTTGTAGAGTCCAATAAAAGATATACATCTAGCTATCAGGTCTCTTTAGTCTCCATTAATATAATAACAACCTGCCACTTTTCTTCCCCATGACATTGACTTTTTAAGAGACCAAGCCATTGTCTTATAAAACATCCCCACATTCTGAGTTTGATTGTTTCTTGTGTAGTTTGACTTGTCCCTAACCCTGCATTTCCTACAAATTGGACTTAGATCTACATGCCCAGTTAAATTTAGGTTAAATATTTTTGGCAAGGATACTTTACAAGTGATGCTATATACTTATTGCATTACAGCAAGGGGCCTATGTTAAGTTATTCCACTATTGGTGATGCAATGAGACCCCAGTTAATACTTATCAGAGTAGTAAGTATTAAGTGGTAACTGTGTTGTCAAGAGTGTGAAAACAAAAAAAAAAAGAACTTTTGAGAATATAAATTGGCATAGTAACTCAGGAAAGCAGTATGGCAATGTTTGGTAAACCTGAATATTTGCATACCGTGTGATCCTGCAAATTGCCTTCTAGATATCTGGCCTGGAGAAATCTGGCACTTATTTACAAGGATACGTATACAAAGATGTTCAATAAAACAGTGATTTGAACAACAGAAAAATAGAAGTACATGAAGTGAAAGATAAACTGGTTTATTCATACATCAGTGGAATACTTTTCAGCATTCAAAGTGTATGAATAGTGTACTGTCATGTAACTATGTGTATGAACAGCAGTAAATAAAAAAACATATTGAGTTATTTATTTATTTATTGAAACAGAGTCTCGCTCTGTCACCCAGGCTGGAGTGTGGTGGCGTGATCTCGGCTCACTGCAACCCTGCCTCCCGGGTTCAAGTGATTCTCATGCCTCAGCCTCCCGAATAGCTGGGACTACAGGCGTGTGCCACCACGCCCGGGTAATTTTTTGTATTTTTAGTAGAGACAGAGTTTCACCATGTTGACCAGGCTGGTCTCGAACTCCTGACCTCAAGTGATCTGCCCGCCCGGCCTCCCAAAATGCTGGGATTACAGGCATGAGCCACTGTGCTGCCTAGAGTTTACATAAAATTTTAAAACGCAGAATCTTAGTGTATGCTGTTTTTTGGATACATATGTATGCAGTAAAAGTACAAAACAACCGCAAGGATAATAATATATGCGAAGTTCAAGACTGTGACTTTCTGGGGGTGAAGGAAGGAGAAGGGATGGTAATGAGATTGGAGTGGGGTGTAGTTCTATTTCTAATTTTTATTGTTTGAAAAAATCAGAGTGTTCTGAAGAAATTTTTGCAGAATATTAAAATCTGTTAAGTCTTGGTGATGGGTTTCTATTATGCTTTGTGTATTTTTGATATTTCATAATTAAAAAATTTAAATATATTATGACAAGAATGGACCATTTTTAATGTTTAGATTTCTATTTAACTGTGTCATAAGCAGATTTTAGTTGAGTGTTGCTTTTATAAAAATGTATTTTAAAACACTGTACAGATCATTAAAGTTGGAGGGAAAACAACATCTCCAGCTGACCTTGTTTGCTAGAATGGAACACGAGCTTCATTGTGTTAAGTTGCCCCTTAGGATAGATCCCATAATCTCATTTGTACCCAGTTTTCTATAATTACATCTGACAACGTAATTAAAAAAAAAGGCCTCTTTATGTTGAAGATAAAAGCATACTCTATTAACCATCCAGCTAAGGACCACAGTTGACAAAAAGATTTCTCTAATTAGTATGATTGTCAAAGCGTGTTAGCATCAGGCTGTTGGAAAAGTAATGACTCTTTCAGGAAATTGGACCCCTTTTGTAAACCTTTACTGTTATAGTTGATAGGAAGAGCTTGCTGGTTCTGCTGCCTCATAACTCAAGATGTGCTTTCCTAGGAAAAGAAGGAGAATGAAGATACTCTAGGGAACAATTTGGTGCCAACAAAAGGGGACTAAATGACCCTGTCACTTTTTTTTTTAAAAAAACCAAATATTGACAGTTAAGCCCATGCCACTGTTATATACTGGCAAATGTAGAAAACGGTGTATACATAAATCAGGTAATGCAAATTAAAGCAAGCGACCTTTAGGTACACAGCCGCAGGTAGAATGTTATTTATCCCATATCCAAAATTTATGAGGCTTTTTATTTTGACAAGTTGTATCAAGTAGTCCCTACCAGGTGTTATGCTGCGAGCTTCAGACTAAAGCCATCTGCCAAAAATCTTTGTGTTTGCTAAAATTAACCACATATCATTAGATGTTTAAAGTTAAACATTACTTGTTTACTGCTCTGTACATGTCTTCTTTCTTTTTTTTCTTTTTCTTTTTTTGTATGTCATCTTTCTTTCCTTCATTGGAAACATTTCTATGTGTAAAACATTATGCAAATCTTGGTACATGCATTATTTTCTTTAATCCTGGCAACAACTCAGTGAAGAAACGGAAATTTAGAGAACTTTAATAACTGCCTGTCAGTGGCAGACTCTGGTTCAAAACCACGTTTGTCTGATACTAAAATCCTTGGTCTCAGCAACTGCATTGCTATACTGCTGCCAGGGAAGTTGTTTGCTTTTTTGTCTATTGTTATCCTTGTGGTTTTACATGTGATTTGTTTCTTTTAAAGAGATTCTTGAGGGAAAATAAGTGAAAAATAAGTGCACATAAGTGAAAAATAAGTGAAAAATGGGTTAATGCTTAATGTGTTGGGAATAAATAGAATATTTTGCAATTTGTGTGTGTGTGTGTGAATGGGAATCCAAGGATCAATAAAAGTCTAAAATACTGGATGGGAATTTTATTTTTAATGAGCTGTTGAATACATCTATGTTTAAACTTTTGTAATTTAATTCTAAGTTAAAAAATGAAATTTAAAAGTAAATAGAATGTTCTATTCATCTCTTAACCTAGAAAAGTTAGCTACAGACCTGTTGGTATCTTTCCTTTTCCTTGTCCTGTTCCCACAGCACTCTGTATCCCCTTAGGTAGTAATTATCTTTCTTGCATTTATTGGTTTATCAGCCATATTCTCCATCTCTCCCGGTCTGCCTTGTTCACTAATCTTTCCCCAGGACCAATCTTGCGTATGTCTGGCCCACAGTCTGTGTTCTAGAAATATGTGCAGTCTGGGTGAATGAATCTGAACTCTGAGCACAGCCTAGGAAGGGAGGATATAAATACCATAAAGATTTAGAATCTTTTCCTAAGACTGTATAATACTCTTTATTCTGCAGAATATTTTCTCCTCTGTTTCTTTGCCATTCTGAAGGAGATAGCAGAGAAACTTTTTGTAGTGGCAGGAACATGACAGGACTTCCTGTTCAGCTGTCACTTCTGTACGGACAACGTCTTTCTGTCTTCTGGGAGTATCCTTGTGCATAGAGAGTATCCTTCTGTACAGGGACTATCCTTCTGGATGGGCAGGCTTCTGTTCACATCTCAGCCATGCCCTTTCAGAATACTCATTTTAAAAAGTGAATATTACATATGTGTTATTTTTAATTACTGTCACTGATGTATGTAATTTGAAAATTAATGTTGCTGTAATTATATTGATATACTGAATAGTTATTCCCAGCTTTTTAGTCAGACAAATTAAGCCTGTCTTTATGAATTCATCTTCAAAGCCTCAAAGTGGTTAAGAAATCAGGAGTATGCAGAATTAAAGCCTTTGTTCTGTGGTTAATTTAGCAGGAGTTAGCAAATGTAATTGATTTAAAAAATTGTGGCATCAAGATTAGATTTCTCTTCGAGGAGAACTTTTGGTCTCTGTTCTCTTTTGCCGGAGATTTCTGATTTCTAAGAAGCAACTCATTTGGGTCACATTCAAAACTGGAATGAAAGTGTTTGTATGGGTATATTCACTTTGAATAGGGGACATTCTCCTTTGGGACCACAGATGCCCTGATTTTTTAAAAAGAGATAAATGTACTGTCTTGTTTATGGTTGTATTTTCTTAATGTAGTACCTGGCCTGAAGTAAGTGTTTGGTATTTCTTTTTTTAAGGAGTGAGTAAATGAATGAGTGATTAAAGGTTGCCAGGAACCAGGAAATAGAACAGAGAAATGTATATAATTTTTTGATTTCTCTAGTACTGAAATGGTTCATCTATTTGTCTCCCTGTCCTTTATACTCTACTGGGGGCTCCTATACCATCTCCCCCACCCCTCCTAGATCCTCCCATGACTTCATATGGTCTCTCCATGTTAAGACCTCCCCGACCTGTACTCTGTTGTTGAGTTGCGTATGTTATTCATGGGAAGGACTCCTAGCATCTGAAACTCAACATACCTGACTGGACAAATCATCCATACCTCCAGTGTGGACTGGAATGAACAAGTCAGATCAGGAGAGATGGAGAAGGTAGGCAATACACTAATACATGCAAGAAAGATGATTGCTACACAAAGGCATACAGAGAGTGCTGTGAGAACAGGACAAGGGGAAAAGGGAGGCAACAATAGGTCTACAGATAATTTTTTTCCAAGTTTAACATACCTAAGCCCACCCCTCCTTCTGACTTCCTGTTTGTGATGCCAGGCACTGTGGATTATTTTGTCATATCTCATCTGTGTAAATCTCCCTTTCCTTCTCTCTCTGGTTCATATGGCTTGAGGTCCTATCTACATGTTGACAGCTCCATCTCTAGCCCAGAGCTCTCTTTTAAGCATCAGCCCCACATATCTGAATACTGGGCTCTCCATTTGGATGCCTCACACGCTCCTCATGTCCTATAAAACCCTGCAGGATCTGATTCCCGTTCACCTTGCCAGCCTCTTTCTACCTGTAATTCTGCACTCTAACAATACTGCGCTTCTCTTAGTTCCTGGAGAATACCATCTTTGCTTTCTCCTTTGAGCTTTTGTATATGCTGTTTTCTCTGCTTGGAATATTCTTCCCCCTACTCTTTTTCTGGCTAACTTCTACTTACTCTTCATCAGCTTAGACATCACTTCTTCTGAGAATATTTCCTGCTGCCAACCCTCCAAATCTGAGTTAAGTCTTTTGTACACCCACAGCACTATATATTTTCTATTATGTATTCTGAGCATTTCTAACACTGTTTTAATTGCCTGTTAATCTCTCATTAGACAGTGAGATCAATGAGTATGTCACTATTTCTTTTCTGGGCCTGCCTCATTATATTTTCTTGAATGTTTCCATCTCATTCGAGGCCATTGTCACCTCAGGGTTTGTGCTAGAGCAAAGACTTTTGTAGCTGGCCTTTTTTTTTTTTTTTTTTTTTCTTTTTCTTTTAAGGCACTCCAGCTCTGTCGGCCAGGCTGGAGTAGAGTGGGCCAGGCTGGAGTACAGTGGTCCAGTCTCAGCTCACTGCAACCTCCGCCTCCCAGGCACAAGTGATTCTCTCTTACCTCAGTCTCCTGAGTAGCTGAGATTACAGACTCATGCCACCATGCCCAGCTAATTTTGTATTTTTAGTAAAAACTGGGTTTCGCCTTGTTGGTCGGACTGGTCTCAAACTCCTGGTTCAAGTGATCCACCCACCTCAGCCCTGCAAAGTGCTGGGATTACAGGCATGAGCCACCACCCCTGTCCCCATAGCTGACTCCTTTGCATTCATTCTGTGCCATCCCTGGCCATCCTATACATATCTAGCAAGTCAGGATCTCCAAGTTGCTGCTTAATTCAGTATCACTTCCCAGCTGGGAGGCCTCCAGTACTATGAAATTCATTGCTTCCCTGGTTTGATATTCCACAAAGTAAAATCAACAAGCACTCAGCATTAAGTGTGTTATCTTCTTACATTTCTGTGTCTATTAAAGGCATCACCATTTTCTTGGAGACCAAGTTGGGTAAGTTGACAGTTTTGAGGTATCCCACTTACCAAGCCTAAGGCTGTCAGTTTAAATTAAGGAACAGAACAGTAAGGGAGGAAGCAAGCCCTAAGAGTATTGGATTAATGCCAGACTGATAGATGTCATGATTAGATCACCCTCATATCCACCTTCCATGTGATACTCAAATTTTATTTCCTCCTCTCTTTTCCTAGCGCTGATGCCTCCATGTAGACTCACTTTATCTCTGCTTGAATCTTGTCATTACATCTAACTAGCTGATTGCTGTCCCCCAATTCTTTCTCCTTGCTATCGTTTGTGAAGATCAAATGAGAAAATATATGTGGAAGTGCTTTCTAAACTACAAACGTGCAGCTGTCAGTCATGACCTCAAACATGCAAGGAATTGCATGGAATCTTTCTCATAAAGCTCATGGTTCCAATGTATGTGACTTACTGTCCTGGACCACCTCAAAACAGGGGATTCTCTAGGCTGGGGTATGTGCCTTCTCTGTATTTGCCCTTGATGTATTGTACTATAGGATGTTGTTTATGAATTTGTTCCTCTCCTGAATTTCTTGAGGCCAGAATAATGTTTCATTCATCTTTGTGTGTACTTCCCCTGCACCAAGGCCAGCATAGTGCCTGGCACATGAGAGATGAGCAACCCATACCAACTGTGTGTATATTAGCCAGATAGTTCTGGTATTGCTATCCTTCTGCCAGAGTTGTTCTTCCCTACTGTCTCCACCTGTTTGCATCGTTTTTAGCTGGCTGATGGGCTCTTATACCTTTAATACCTTGCTACTTAAAGATATAGTTTTGGAAACAGCAGCATTGGCATCACCTGTGAGCTGTTAATTGCAGGTTGAGAACTTTGGAAAAGCATTTATTTTGTTTTTATTTCTGAATACAGGTACTTGCAACTGGGCTCAGTGGTCTCTACTCTTCCCTGCCTACAAAGCTAGAAGAGAAAGGCGAGGAATGGCACTGCCTTCTGAAAGATGACTGGCTTCTACTTCCTTCTCTTGTCCAGTTCATGAACTCCCTGGAGTTTTGCAATGCAGTCATACAGGTACCAGAGCATGATAAAGGATCCCTTTGCTATAGCTTCATTCAGAGCACAAGCATTGCAAAGGATTAATTTAAAAGCATTCACTTTTTAAAATGTTAATAAATGTTTATGGAATATTGGTGCTTTACTTTAAGCCAAGTGAATGTCCTTGAATGAGTGAAAATGTTAGTTTGTAGGTTTCTGTAAGTTTTAACTGAGAAAAAGAAATGAGTAGATTTTCTTTATCTTCTTTATAAAAGGTGTTAATTCTGTTTTGATTATCTACTTAGCCATCAAAAAATAAGTTCAATGCCTGACTCATTAAATAGATATTTTTAGGTTTCTAAGTACTCCAGATTATACCACTTCTACTTCAAGGTCTTCTTGGGAATTTATAAAGGAGAACACTTTATTTTGCTTAATGGTGCATACTACATAAAGAATATTGTTATCCCAATTGAATTTAGAAGAAGTTAAGCATTTTCATTGAAACACAAATTAAATTTGCTTTGAAATTGGCCTGTTTGGGGAGGAAAAAAAACAACCACTGAACTCCTGTGTATTTGGCTTCTTGATTAGATTTTTACCTTTAGATTTCTTGTTACTGTTTTCAATAAAAATCAGATTTTATATATATTTAAAGATGTGGTAAGTTTTCATAAAAATGTTTTGTTCCATATAGCATAAATATTACCTTAATGTTAGATTTATTAAGAAATCAAGTTTTCTTTATAGTGATTGTAGGATGAAAAATGTTAGTTATAATCTGTTTATCTACCAAATAAAGAAATAGCCTCTGGAAGAAAATACAAGTAAATTATTTTAGTTCCATCTCATTTTTATTGCTAAGTCAAAGGAAGTTTTATTTATATATAAGAAAAATGGATTACATCTTATTTTTTCCTTTAATATTGAGTCTATCAACATTTTCTTGCAGTTTGTGGAAATAAAAAAGATGGAACTACTATTAGTTCTTCCCCAAAAATATATACACACAGAGAGATTATCAGTAATTTAAAGATCTAGCCTCACTTTCCTAGAAATTGCTTTTTACTTTGTTGCTTGACTTTCTTCCTCTTTTTCATTGTCTTCTTTTTTAAGAAAGAGAAATAAAGCTAATAGGCATGGTAAGAACAGGGAAATTATATATTTCATACTGTATTTTGACATTGAAACCATATACTTTTAAGATTTTTTGTTTGGGGAAGACTACTGAAAAGGTTACTTATAAAAGATATTAGTAGAGGGTTATCCACACTAAATATATTTTGAAAATCAAATATGAGAAGTATTGTACCTCTGATAATGTTTTCTGCTTTCGAATATTATCTATTTTTCTGAAAATATTTTTAAATGCCTTTCTCTTTAATATAAGTGACTATCAGGAAATACATATTTAAAATGAGAAAATGTTTTCTGCCAGCAAAATAAATGTGTTTAATTGTTCGCTTTGACAGTTATGCTTAGTTTTTAAAATTAGTTACAGGTTGAGATGTGATTTAGAAGAAAGTAAAGGGCAAAAATTAAACTTTCCAGTTTGTTAACTTTAATTTATGAATCCTTATACGTACTCAGTCTGTTTATTGTGTTTTTTCCAAACACACAGTTTAAAATTACCAATATTATGTTTGAAAGTTCAACTTCTGTGAATTTTAACCAAGCTGTTTATGCTGGAATAAGCTATTTGAAGGGCTTACATGACAGTATGAGGTCTGATTTGTTCTTTAATCACAGAATAAATGGCCAAAATTTGGATTTCCTTTTTGAATTCAGGATGTACACAGAATTGTTTTGTTTTAAGAACTGAAGATTGAACTCTTTGCCTTTTTCTTGACTATCTGCATCTCTCTTAGGTGGCTCACCCCTTGATTCGAAATCAGCTTGTCAATTACATTTACAATGGATTTTTGGTACCAGTCTTGGCTCCTGCTCTCCATAAGGTCAGTGACTGGCTCATGTAATCTTCTGTCTCTATAATACAAGTGATGGACACTGAGGAGGGTAAACACAGTGTAACCGATTTGATGGTGACTTTAGCCTTATTTTTCTTCTATCTCTATTTCTTAGCAATATCAAACACAGGTCTTAAAATGGTCACAGCTTAAACTGATGGGTTCTGTCTGGTGTCATAGAATACAGTATTGTGAGTGTCAAGTAGGATAGTCAGCCCAAAGGAACGTTGGCAGATAGACTCCGACTCTGTGCCTGCTTCGCTTTGTGGGTGGTGGCTACTTGGAACTGTCAAGCTGTCCTCCAAGGCTGAGTCTGTCATAGAGAATGCAAGGTATGCCGTGGGCATGGAGAGGAGCAGTAGTAGCACAAGTGCCATAGATTTGCTGTCTACTTAATAGAACATAATTTTTTATTGTAACAGTTTTGTGACAGCAAAAATTAAAGTGAAGCTGTCATTTTTCCTTCACTAAATAAAGTTAAGGTCCCATCAAAGGTTGGCTGTCTCATTAGCACCACTCTGAATTTCTTATGACTCTGTGATTTTGTATGATAAATCAACTGATATATTTTCCCTTGTGAGCTGTCAGGTGACACCCCTGGGCCTAGAATTCTGATTTTTCATTTTTCCTTCACTAAATACAGAGACTTGTGCAGTATTTAGTTCAGGGAATCTTTGTCAAGATTTTGGAATCACACCTCTGGCAGGGACAGAAGCAAAGAGCAACTTGATCATATGTTGTTTTGATGGAATGCCCACCATTCTGCATCCTGAAGTTCAATTTCTACAGGCTTGTGTTTTACAGAAGCCAAAAATACTTGATTATGGCAATGTTGAAACCTTGCCATCCAAGCTGATGGGGTTTCTGGTTTAGAGCAGATCTTGACAGAAGATGTTCATCTCTTACTATTTAGTGCCTCTCCAGCATAGTGGCCATGTTTTCCAAGCCAAACAGAGTACTTGGTTTGACTTAGATTTTTATGTTATTTCTAGGTTCGAGAGGTCATCTTTGATGTGGTTTAAACATAAAAATACTGAGGTTTCCATGTTATTTTAGTAGTTTATGGCCACAAAAGAACCAAGTCTGTGAAATTAGATCTCTCTTGGAAAATAAGGGATTAACTTTGGAAAATACAGAACTTGTATTTGTTTCTAGGTTAACTTTGTGTTTGTCAGTATTTCATTGTTCCAGGGATGGAATGGGTATCTTGCATTGAAGATCTCTAAACCTCTGCATGGAAGAATTTTCCTCTTTGGAGGAACACAAGAGTGCTATAGAAATTCTCTGGCAGTAATTATCCATATATACTCTCACACATTTAGACTTTTTTCTTCATTTGTTTCCATCCTTTTCCTCATTGACCTATTGACATAAAATAATTTCCTGACATTATTATAATACTGATGATTATTATAATTACTATTTGTTCAGGAAATTTTATGTTATTATAATTAGCGCACTTTAGTGTTACAAACATTAGTGATAGCTCTTTATCCATAATTGAGGATGAAAACCACCTCAGAGAGCTGTTACGAGGATCTTACTGGTCACCCCACACTTCCTCTTCATAGCACTTAGCACAAGTGGAGTTAAATCATTACGTGTGCTATTACTTGCTTAATGTCTTCTCCACAGTGGTATGCACACTTTCATGTATGGCATATTATCACATGTGTTTTGTTCACTGGGATATCTCCAGTGCTGAACACAGTACCTTAGACTTAGGAGGCTGAAGAAACAACACACCAATGGAATGCGTGTTAAAGTACCTTCCCAGATAGTGGTTTGTAAGAGAATAATAGCTAACATTTGATCTAGCACTTTACATGTATTATATAATATCCTCAGTTGTGCCCATAATTAAAATATGAGAGTTTTAAAACCATAAAGTTAATACATGCTTATTGTAAAAATAAAAAAGTCAATGCTGAATATGTAAAATGAAAAGCGAATGTTACTGTATTAGGTTTGAATTTCCAACCCGTAATTCAGATTTCTTAACTTGTATCCATTGCAGACAATTTCTCTCAGGGCTATATAGCAACTAGGGAGAACAAAGATGGATTTTTTCCTTCTTAATTAATTTTTCTCCCTGTTCTCCATCTGTTTTTTGTTTGTTTGCTTTTTTATCATTTAGAATGAACAGGGTTAGGGAGGGAGCAGGCCAGGGAAGGTGAACAGCCTCTCCTGTGGCTCTTGGCTCCCTATGTGGTTGATGAAGAAAGGAGCCATTTCA